TGGAATGTTTCGAACTTGTTTCCCTTTATACAGATTCAAGTGTTAAATGAGATGTTCTTAGACCGATCTCCTATCTCCCCAAGAAAGTGGTTGATATTATTAAGTGTACTATTCCACCTCGGATAATGTTGGTAGTTATTTTGATTGTTTGGAAAAGTGTTATAAATAAAGAGTTCTCTTCAAAATTGGCATATATTCATGTTGCTAATGAGTTGCCTAGGTGTTAGAAGTGGTTGTTGAGAACTTACACAAAATATTTTATAATTAGATTTGTGAGAAATAAAATAAATACACAAAATTTGATCATAAAGTTGGACTAATTGTACTTACATCTTTGAGCTACTACATATATATTATTAAAAAAGGAAAAAATATAAATAGTATTTATAAATATTTTGACTCACAATCAAAATACACCCAGAAAATAAAATATTATTTTCTATCTCTTTCTTTTTCTCTCACATAATTGTTATGTTTTTCATAGTTATAACATGATGTTATTTATAGATGCATGCAAAGTTTCTATTCCTCTCATTTTATTTTTCTATTTTCATGCATTACTTTTAATTTTATTGGTTTTCCTTATTTAAGTAAATCAACACCTTACACTTTTTTTATTTGGTAGTGTTGTTGATCATTTCCAACAATTTTCTACTTAAAGATTAATTTCAATCTGTCTTCACATCTCAATTAATGCAATAGCCTTATCTTGTATGTTATTCTAGCAAACCAATTGAAGTTGAGCACAACTTCAATTTGTTAATAGTTACTACCTTTGTCAACATGTTTGTTATGTTCTTACTACCTAGAATCTTTTTCAATGTTAGTACCCCATCCCCAAGCAAAGATCTGATGAAGTAATAACGGAGATCAATGTGTTTTGTTCTAGAATGAAATACTAAATTCTTTGACAGATGTATTGCACTTTGATCATCACTGTGCAAAATATTCTTCTCCTTGATTAATCCCAACTTTGTTAATAATCCCTAAAGTCATATCAATTCTTTATTGACTTTTGTTACTTCTACATACTCAACCTCTATAGTAGATAAAACAATAATTTTTTGTATTTGTGACATCCAACTAACAATTGTAGTACAAATAGTAAAAATGTAACCAATGGTACTTCTTTGGTGATCGACTTCACCTCCAAAGTCTGCATCTATGTAACCTTGTACTTTCAATTATCCTTTACCAAATTACAAACACTTCTTTGTAGTGTCTCGCAAATACCTCAAAATCCACTTAACTATTTCCCAATGAGCTTTACTTAGATTTGACATAAATATGCTAACAACTCCCACTACATGGCCAATGTTTGGCCTTGTACAGACTATTGAATACATTAAACTTCCAATGACTGAAGTATATGAAATCTTAGCCATGAACTCTTTTTCCTCCTTCAATTGAGGGAAATGATCATTGGATAAGCAAAAATGATTGGCCAAAGGTGTGCTAACCGACTTGGCATTGCTCATGTTGAATCTTTACAAAACATGATTGATGTACTCTGCCTGAGATTGTTGCAAAATACCTTTTTACTTATCTCTTAAGATTTGCATTCCGATGATCCTTTTTGTTGGACCCAAGTCTTTCATGTCAAATTCTTTTGACAATTGTTGCTTCAAGCTTTTGATCTCGTCCATATCTAAACTAGCTACTAACGTGTCATCGACATAAAGTAGAAAAATGATATAACTAGACTTATATCTCTTGAAGAAATAACAATGATCAACATTGCACTTCTAGAAACCTTCCTTGTGCATGAAGCTTTCAAAATTCTTGTACCACTGTCTTGGATCTTGTTTCAAGCCATACAAGCTTTTCTTTAATCTACACACCATATTCTTTTTCCCTTCTTTTGAGAAACCTTCAAGTTGATGCATGTAAACCTCATCATCTAAGTCTCCATTAAGAAACGTTGTTTTCACATCCAATTGCTTAAGCTAGAGCCCTTCACTAGCAATGATACTTAAGACAAAGCTAATATTATTGAATTTTACAGCTAGAGCAAAGATTTCAATATAGTCAACTTTTTCCTTTTGCTGAAATCCTTTAACAACTAGTTTGAATCTCTTGGAGTCATCATGATCTTCCTTCACTCGATACACCCATTTTTTTTAAGTGTCTTTTTTCCAATAGGTAACTCTGTTATTTCCCATGTCTGATTGGACATTAAAGACTTCATCTCATCTTTCATGGCAAGCTTCCACTTACTAGCATTTGTAGTCTGACATGCTTCCTTATAGTTTTTAGGCTCCCCTTCATCAGTTAACAATATATAATTTAGGTATTTCCTGTTAGGCACATTAGGCCGAGAAAACCTTCTCAAAATAATAGTTGAAGTAACAGGCTCTAATATGTCAAGTTGTTGGTCATTGTTATTTTCAATTGATTTCTCTGGCTAAGGAATCTCAATTGTAAGAGTTTTTAGGACACCATCCACCTCTACATACACTAGCCCACTATATTCTGATTTGCTAGTGTATGTGTTGTCCTTGTTCTTGTACATCACTTTTTCATTGAAGATCAAATCTTTACTATGAATCATATTTTTATTTTCATTATTCCATAGGCGATAGCCAAACTCATTCTCACCATAACTAATGAAAGTATGCTTCTTTAATTTATGATCAAGTTTATTCTTGCCTTGATCACTAATGTCTACATATCCTACACAACCAAAAACTCCAAGATGTGAGAGTTTTACCTCTTTTCCACTCCATACCTCTTATGGTATTTTGTGCTCCAATGGTACCGATAAACCTCGATTTATTAAGAAAGTTATTGTATTGACTACTTCCACCCAAAACTTTTTTAGTAAGCTTAACTACAAACGCAAGCTTCTAGCTCTTTTAGTCAACGTTTGATTCATATGCATAGCTACACCATTGTGTTGAGGCACACCAAGCATGATCCTTTCTATTTTGATCACATGCTTAAAGCAAAACTTCTTAAATATGGTGTCTTCATATTCACCACCATTGTTAGTTCTACGCTTTTTGATCTTCAAACTTGTCTCATTTTCTACCATGACTTTCCAAATCTTAAAAGCCTTAAATACTCCATACTTATGTTTCAAATACTCATACCCTCCTAGAGTGGTCATTAATAAAAATCACAAAGTATTGCTTCCCACCAATGGATGGGACAATCGTTGGACCCCAAACATCAGAGTGAACGAGCTCAAGTCTCTTTCTTTGAAGTTCTTCCACTTGTCTGAAAGTTAACTCATTTTTGCTTTCTAAGTATGTAGTCTTCACACATGTCAATTTCTACTAATTAATCAAATAATTGGTAATTTATCCTTTGAGTGCATGATCTTCATCGCTTACTCACTCATATGGCTTAACCTTTGGTGCCATAGATTGGGATTTTCATTTGTTGCAACTACAATCAAATGACATGCTCTTGATGTCTTGTAAGGAGTACCAATCTTTTCACCATGAGAAATTGTCATTGTAGCCTCCAAAATCTTCCAAGGATTGCCATTGTGTAGCCATCACCAACCAACTGACCTACAAAACTGAAGAGGTTGAAGACTCACTCGACTTTCTTTGTCAAATCTCTTCACTAAGAATCAAATCATAAACATCATTGAATTTTAACTTATTGCTTCTCGAAGAGCTACTCACAATTGTGGCAATAACATTCTAACTTTCTAGTAGAGAAGAAAAAGTATCAACGCTCATACTTCTTCATCAAATTCGATTCCAACTGAACTCAATTAGGTTGAGACTATATTGAGTTCATTGAGATGTTGTGCTGCCAATGCACCTTTTTTCATTCACAAATTAAATAACCGCCTCATCAAATGAACTTTGTTTGAGGTTGACGACTTTTCTTACATTTAAGAAAAAGCCGCCATAAGATGCACCGTGGTCTTTTCTTTTGCAATGTTAACTGTAACGTTGCGAGATAACATCAATCAGATAACTGTAAGGGCTTGTCTGTCGAGAATAGCCTAATCTTCATCCTTTATGCCCTTTGGTTTGTTTCCTAAGAGAGCTTGATACAACTTTTTCTAATACAGATAATCTTTGATCTACATTTTTCAAAAGTCAAAGTCTACACCATCAAACTTCTCAATTTTCACCTTTTCTTCATCTGCAATCACTTCTCCCACTCAAATTTAATTCCTTGTGGATTGATTATGAATTCTTTTGAGAATTGATAGAAATCAACACCAAAACTCTCATACAAATTGTTCAGAAATTATGAAAAAAAAATTATAATCAGATTTACGAGAAATAAAATGCTTGTAGAATAATAACACACAAAACTTGATAACAGAGTTCGATTAATTATTCCTAGGTCTCTAGGTTGCTACAAATATATTATTGAAAAAAATAATAATAAAAAAATAATATTCACAAACCATAAACCCTAAATCGTACCCCCATAAACCACGACAGTCCTTTCAAATTGTGATGCAATTTGCATTCAAATTGAAAGAATATCATTACAATTAATAGAAAACACTGTAACATAACACAGTATCAACCGTAGTTAAATAACATTTCAAAAAACAATTTATCAAAAGTAAATTTTGCCAATTAAACCCCTAAGTTCAAGTTTCTCACTACAAAATTTCACATAATTAAGAAAATAACTATTACTTAATCACCTCAGATTATTTTAACATGGTATATATTATTTAAAAATATAAATAAATAACTACTTTTACATTACATATATATACAAATATCATAAATCATATAAAGCTTTACTTGTTTAGGATAATATCCAATAATTCACTGGTTGAATTGATAAAATTTAATTATTAAAAAGTTATTAGAAGTATCATTTTACTTTGTCAGATGGTATTATTTGATCGTATAAAATTCAAACGGCCAACTCAAGAATTCATCATATTGTTGGCATTGGTAACCAAAACAAAAAGGCAGAAATCGGTGAATCATTACAATGCTAATGCAACAGAAACAAGAAACCCATAAAAAGTATATTAATGTATAATGGAGGGATAAGTTGTGTAAAGATTACAAATTAAGACCCCGTGTTAATGGATCTTATCCATTTAATTTATTCATGTAGATATCAACAAAAGATTTATTTACATAATAAATAATTGAGCCATATGGCAGATTTACATATTTCTACATTCATTGATTCTCTTTCACATCTTTTTGCTCTACCAATAATCCCTACAAGAACAATGACCATCTTTAAAATGGTGTAAGCAATTTGAATCACTTAAATATATTTCACACCCATATGCCAATGATATGAATTTGGCTGTCTCATGGCAATCTCTACACATCCTCAAATTCTTTACTATCCGTAAAACTTGAGGTGTGTGATGAGAATCTATTAAAGCAAATGCTAATGCAAGTTTTTCACTATGTACATTACTAACATTTTCCTTCTCCTCTTCCTCAATGCAAAGTCCATTGTCAGAAGTATGTGCCTTGACATTTACACCTACCCGTTTTAGCCAAGAATGTAGCTTGTCCAAATATGGTTTTGACTGATCACCAGCAACAAAAGTATGGACCAAGTGATTCCTTTCAGTCCAGCTTTGCCCAACAGGTTTTTTAACAACCTTTTCCCTCTCCATCTTTGTCATTTTTGGAGCTTCCCAATTCCTCCCACATAAAGAATATGCCTGTGAAAGTAAATGCTGAGTTACAATATTGTCAGGTTCCAACTCAAGCAGACGTTCTGCTGCAAAGATTGCCATTCCGAAATTCCTATGAATTCTGCAGGCAGTGAGCAAGGCAGACCATACAGAGGAGTTAGGCTCAGCTGGCATGTTTTGAATAAACTCCAGTGCTTCAGCAAGCTTACCTGAACGACCAAGCAAATAAACCATAGCAGAATAGTGTTCCAGATCTGGTCTAATTTGATATTCTTGGCTGAAGTTGGAGAAAACATGATTCCCCTCATCCACCATTCCAGCATGACTATAAGCTGCGATAAGACTCGCAAAAGTAACTCGATTTGGATGAAGTCCATCCTTCCTCATCTGATAAAAAAGATCAAGTGCAGACTCTGAACAGCCGTGTAACACATAACCTGAGAGCAGAGAGTTCCAACTGATGATATCTTTTGGGGACAACCCATAGAATATTTTTCTAGAATACATTATATTTCCTGCCTTAGCATAAATGTCAATGAATGTATTTGATACAGAAAGTTCAGACACTAAATTTCTACGCACTGCACAACAATGAATTTCTTTCACTTTCTTTGCAGCCACTAAATTTGCACAGGCAGGAAGGATAGTCAGCACTGTAACTAAGTTGGGAGCCATATTGAAAAACTGCATCCGCCGAAATATCTGCAAGGCCTTGTCCTTTTGTCTACTCTGCAGGAAACCAGAAATTAACGAGTTCCATGATGCCACATTTGGCTTAATTTTCCCATCTTTCTCAATTCTTTGAAAAAGATCCAATGCCTCGTCCTCAGCACCATTCTGCATAAATCCTGTGATCAGCACATTCCATGTAACAACATTAGGAGGTGAATCAGACTCCTGCATTTTCATAAATAACTCATGGGCTTTGCCACAGAAACCAGCTTGGCAATATCCTCCAATTATTGAGTTCCAAGAATATACATCCCTCTCTAACATCTTATCAAAAATGCTTTGAGCAGACTCCAGATTGCCACCCTTGGCATACATGTCAAGCAGTGAATTACCGATTAGAATATCGTCAACCAAACATGTCTTAACAGCAATAGAATGGATTTCTGATCCCATACTTAGTGATTTTACAGACGCACATGCTGAGGCTGCACTAGCAATTGTAATACTGTTGGGCTCAACCCCGACTATAAACATCTCCCTCAACAAATCAAAGGCATCATTTATCCTTCCCTTTTGAGTAAACCCAGAAATCATAGAAGTCCAAGTATATACATCAGGAGAAATCCCAAAACTCTCCATCCTCCTCATTAATTCCATTGCAATATCACAATGCCCTAACTGATTATAACTTGCAATCAAAATGTTCCAAGTTACCAATCCAGGCTCAACTCCTTCCTGCTGCATTGCATCAAAATACTTCTGAGCTTCTTCAATCTCACCCTTCTGGCAAAACCCAGTTATTATCACATTCCAGGAAACACAGTTCCTCTCATCCATTCTCCTAAAGAGCTTCTCTGCACAACTCATCTCCCCACACTTAGCATACACAGCCAGAATTGAATTAATCACAAGCAAAGAAGAGCACATTCCGCCCCGAATCGCCATCGAATGGATCAACCTCCCAGTTTCAAAATCCCTGCACTTTCCGCAGGCTTTCAAAACCTTCGGGAGCAAAAACTCATCAGGCAAAACCCCATGTCCCATCATATCATAAAAAAGCTCCACAACTTCCTCCCACTTAAGGTCTCTGGAGCAGGCACCAATCATGGCAGACCAAGAGAACAAATTCCTCTCACGCATTTCATCAAACACTTTCCGTGCCTCATCCAAGTGCCCGCATTTGGCATACATGCTAACCAACTTGGTCTCCACAAAAGGGTTCACCTTTCTCACCAACCCAATCCTAGCATGCAACTCCCTACCCACCATAATGCAGTCTCTGTCAATGCAAGCCTGAAGCAGGTTCATGAAGGTAATGGGTTTCACCTTGGACCCCTGTTGAGCCAGAGAGTCAAGAATTGGCACAGCCTCACTCAGGGGACCATTGACACATAGCTGGTTCAACTGGGCATCCACCAACTTTGGGTGTGACCTTTTGGTCATAGAGACATTGTTGGAGTTTGCAAGGACCCTTGTTGAACTATGCCACTCAAATTGAGTGGCACTGTGGGAAGGGATTGACAAAGGAGGCCATGGTTTACTGGGTAGAATAATAAGGTTCTTCTCCATTGTGGCTTTGGAAGTGTCCTTATCTCCTTTGGGTTTGAAACAAGTATGTGGACATGACTTAGATGAGATAGGGGTAAGGCTTACAAAACATACCTGTAATGACACCAACGTTAGACATGAGTATATAACTACCAGTGGTTTGGTTTGGCGGATTTATTATTTTTTAGTCCTTCTATTTCAAATACAGTACTTATTTTTAATTTATGTAGATTTTTTTTTTCTTTTGATATATTTTATTTTTATTAACGTAATTTATGTTATGAGGACGCGGACTTTTTATTTTTAATTTTTATTTATCTAAATAATCTACCTCCCATTTTATTTATCTATATATATCAATTTATTGTACATTATGAGAAATCGGACCATTAACTAATTTCTCAAGTAAAAAAATTGAAAATTTTGCTTTAACCCTTTGAGAAATCGATTTCTTCGTAACCGATTTCTCAATTCGGTTTACTTATTTTGTTTTTATATGAATTTATTTTTTTTTTAATTTTTTTAAAAATTATTTAAATTATAATTGAATTTTAAATATAAATATTTTAATATTTTTAATTAATTTAAGTATTTAAATTTTATTTAATAAATATAGATTTTTAAGCTTTTTAATTATTTTAAATATTTCGTTTTTCTTCAATTAATATAGATATTTTAATATTTTTAACTAATTTAATAATTTATTTTTCTATTATAGATATAGATATTTTAATATTTTAAATACTTAATTTTTATAACAATATTATTTTATAAATAATATATATTTATTTAGTTTTTAAGATTTTTTTATAAATATTATTAAAAAGATTATTATTAATTTTAAAAAAAATTAATTTTAAATTAATAATGTAGAATCATAATTAACTTAAATATTTAATGTTAACAATGAAATATTTAAAAAATAATAATTTAAATTTACAACTGCATTAATAAAATTGTATAATTACATTTAAACACACTAAAATAATTGTAATAACATAAATTTGTAACAATCATAAATAAATGATACTCCCTCCATTCCTATATATAAGAAATATAGGATGAAAATCACACGGACCAAGAAAATATCGTTTGAGCTGTTAATCGTGATAAATATATCCTAAATTTAAATTTATTATTAAAATACTCATACAATTAAATTCTTTAATGCCACTAATTGTATTTCTCCTCATTCCAAGCCACTAGTTTTTTCTGATGGATATCATTAATTCAATTGCAGAATCGACTCGGCAATTTGGCAAATTGAATGTTTAAAATATCATTAAAATCTTTCAAAGACAAAATTGCATGAAATATTTAAAAAAGACAAGACCTACATTAAGTAAAGATAGTAAACACCTTTTGGCATCTCTAGTGAAATGAAAATACTCTAATAAATTAGTCATTAATATGAGAAATTGGTAGTTACCTTTCTCTTAATAAATTGAGGGTATAAAAGAAATCTATTAATTAATACAAAGGAAAATATGCCTGTGTTTTTTATATTTAGGAAAAAAAAATACTTTTGTTTCTTATATATAGGAACGGATGTAGTATTAAAGGAAATACACTACAAAAGAAAAACATACTAAAATATAATTGAATACCCTTTATAGACATATGAGTTATTGACTTTAAAGTTGTTGATTTGAACTCCCTGAATGATAAAGACATTTTTTCTTAGAATGACCTAGATTCCTACACATGGAACATCTTTTTGGTTGTCCAGTTTCTACCATATCTATTTCGGTGCGTACTCAAGATGATTTTGGATGACCTTTTTTGTTTTTGACCTTTTCTAGATTTGGCAATGTTTGTAGTTCTCCACCAATCTGGCCAATAAGATTCGTTGAGTAGTTCTTCAAATAATTCTTTCTACACATTACAAACATATTCCAACGTAAATATTGGATTTATATAAAGTGTGTAATTGTGTGGTTAACACGCTTACACGCAACAATGACATGCGAGTATGACATGTGTAACTATTGAAATTTGTCACAGTCACACCACTTTTCATCTAATCTAACTGTTAAAGTTTCAGTCGAACGTCCTTCCCTTGAGTTAATATTTCTTGCACTTTTCATGGCATTTAGCAACTTGGGTAAATCATGTATGATTGCTCCCAATTCCCATGTAATTTGTGGAGTGTCAACTTACTCACTTCGTGGACTTTTATTATGTTTTTACTAAGATAATTTTTTTCTATTTCACAATTATTTTCTAAAGTTTTTATGTCAATGAATCAAATGTATCACTTTTATGTCTCAAATATATTTGTAGCATGTTCAAAAGTTATTTTGAAAAATGAAATAATTAGACTTTTGCACCAACAAATTATGTCAACTGACTCACTTTGTGGACTTTTATTATGTCTTTACTAAGCTAATTTTTTCCATGTCGCAACTATTTTCTAAAAATCTTATGTCAATGAATCAATGGTACTACTTTTAGGTCTCAAATATATTTGTAGCACGTTTGAAAAGTCATTTGAAAAACTAAAAGAATTAGACTTTTGTATCAACAAACTATGTTAATTGATTGACTTTGTGAAATTTTATTATGTCTCTGCTAAGCTATTTTTTTCATCTGTGTTTTTATGTCAATGAATCAAATGTATCACTTTCAGGTCTCAAATATATTTGTAGCACGTTCAAAAAGTTATTTTGAAAAATGAAATAATTAGACTTTTGCACCAACAAATTATGTCAACTGACTCACTTCGTGGGCTTTTATTATGTCTTTGCTAAGCTAATTTTTTCTATGTTGCAACAATTTTCTAAAATTTTTATGTCAATGAATCAATGGTACCACTTTCAGGTCTCAAATATATTTGTAACACACGTTTGAAAAGTCATCTGAAAAATAAAAAGAATTAAACTTTTGTATCAACAAACTATGTTAATTGACTCACTTTGTGGACTTTTATTATGTCTTTGCTAAGATATTTTTTTCATGTCACAACTATTTTTTTATGCCAATGAATCCAACAATACCACTTTTGAGTCTCAAATATGTTCATAGCATGTTGTAAAAGTCATTAAAAAAATAAAATAAAAATAACTAGAGTTTGATACCAGCATTCATTCATATATATTATAAAATTTAATATATAATACAAAATTTAATGTGAATATTTCTTGTTATATAACCTAAATGTTTAACATAAATTAACTTAGTTTAATAAAAAATTATAAAAAATTTATGTTTTTTTTATTAATTTAAAATTATTTATCTATATTTACTAAAGAAAAATTCAACGACCCATTAGTGATTGGGTGAGAAGGGATTTGGATAGTTAAAAATTTGAGAACCTAAGTTCAATTCTCATTACTATCATTTTTGTAATTTTTCTATCTTTATCAAAAAAAATTCAATAACTAAATAAATTAAACATATTTAAAAAAGTATTTTTTAATTTTTTAATTATTTTAATTACTATATTTTTCTTAAATTATTTTCTTACATTAAAACTAAAACAATTTTTTTTAGAAAGATTAAACATATCTATATTTATAATAGCAAATAAATTATTAAATTAATTAAAATATTAAAACATATATTTATTAAAGAAAAATTAAATATTTAAAATAATTAATAATATTAAAATATCTATATTTATTAAATAAAATTTAAATACTTAAATTAATAAAAAAAAAATATTAAAATATTTATATTTAAAATTTCAATTATAATTTAAATAAATTCTACTAATATGATCACGAAAGAAAATATGAGCAAGAAGTGGGAATTAAGAAAGATTTTGTGAACAAAAATAGAAGAGGCCATGCAGAACAAAACAAATATTTCTAATTAACCACATAAATTAACATGATCAAGAGAGGATGATATATATATATATATAAGTAAATAAAATGAGAAGTATGGAAAGTAAGTTATTTAGATAAATTAAAATTAAAATTGATATATTAAAAAAAAAGTCTGAGGACGTGACATTTTTTATATGATATTTTTTGTTTGTTTAAATATTTTTTTTTATAGTTTTATTTACTTTCTTTTTAAGATCATATTGTTTAAAATATTTTACTTTAATTTTTATATACATACTTTTATCTTTTTAATCTCTATTGTCTATTTTTCTTTAATGTTATTTATATTGTAATAACATAATAAAGACAGATTTAAAATCACATTTTTGACGTAAATTTTTTTATTTGTTAAAAATACCTTATATTAAATTTTAGGCTTAAATATGTTTAAACTACCTCGAATTAGCTCGATTTTTAGATTACTACTTTCTAAAAAAGAAATTGTTAAAATTACTTGATAATTTTTTTTTCAATTTAGTATCTGATGCTAGTTTCCTCGGTTAAATCATGACGTAGCAAACGGATTGTCACGTCATCACCCAACAGTGTCTGCCACGTCATTCAAGGGACTGCCAGGTGGGCATGGTGATGACGTGGCAAACACTATTGGGTGATGACGTGGCAGTCTGTCTGTCACGTCATCACTTGACAGAGGGGGACCAACGTCAGGTACTAAATTGAAGAAAAAAAATTAGTCAAGTATTTAAAACTAAAAATAATAAATTAATAAGTAGTCATCTGAAAACCAACGTAATTGGAGGTAGTAATTTGAAAACCGACCTAATTGAAGGTAGTAATCTGAAAATTGTCACTGAAGGACAATCTATTTTGAGGCCACCATATTTTGATTGCATAAATAACATTGAGTGAAAGGAGCGTATGCGAATATTCATACAATTCATCGACTTCAAACTTTGGTTTGTCATAAAAAATGGACCAAAAATTCTAACAAAGATACTGGACAATGAAGAAGTGGAGAAAAATGAAGATTAATAAGATGAAGAAGACATAAAACACCTGTAACTAGAAACAAAAGCAACAAATGTTTTATATTGTGCCATGAATTAAGATACTTTTGAAAAAAATTTCAAGTGCGGCTTAAAAATATTCAAACTACCTTCTGTTGGATCGAGCGCTTACCACTAGACCAAAAGCTATAGCTGATAGTCAGGGCGCAACTCTTTTTACTTAAGAGCGCAGCAGCCCAAGCGCCATGATTCGACAGTGACTTGGCCCACCTAGCCTCCGCCACGAGACAATTGATGCAACTCGCA